GGGAAAGACACTGCCAAACTAATAGCTGGGAGGCGGGAAAGGTCACATTGGAAGCAGGAAGCATGCTTCAGCACAAGGGATTTAATCCAGCTTTTATGCATTTTCTTGTTCAATGAGTGTGTGAATTTTCATCCTTTAGATCTCAAAAGAAGATGACAAATTCTTCCCCTATTTTGTCCAGAGTTCCTGGATATGGCTTACAGGTAGGAGTGTTCACTTCTCAAAGGGAGTGAGTGACGCTGGGACTCTGAAACGTGCCACTTTAGTAACTGCAGATAGAAGGGAGTTGAGGCAGCAAGGCTAGGGCTGCTTGGGGGTAGGCCCATTCCTCATCCTTGAGCCTCTTACCGTGTCTGAGGGCCCCTGAGCAGAGAGGCTAAGCCACCCAAGGAGCATGTAGGTATTCTGCCCACCCCTCTGCAAGTCATTTACATGAAACATGCACATTTTAAGTGGATACGTTGGTGGCTTTTGACAAATGTACATCTCTCTTAGATTTTTTGCCGTCTGTATTTTGCTTAATGATAGTAAGCATCTGCACGTGGGCATGTGAGAAAGACCAGTGACAGGGTCTCGTCTCACTGTGACTCTTGTCTTTAACCCTCCAGTGTCTTAAGATTCTGGGTACTTCAGGTGTTTTCAGGCCGACTTAGAGATCCAAACTCCTGGTCAGCTATGTGGCTTCCAGCCTTGTAGGGGACTTGTTTTACTGTTGAACTATATTGGCTGGACCTGCTGTCTGTATTTACTTATTTATTTAAAGAGATTTTTGCTATAGTGTGCATATACTTACTGGAGAGACAGAAACAGACATAGAGATAGAAAGCAAGAAATCACCCCCCACCGGGGGGGTTGGTCATGCTGCAATCCCTTCTCCTTCATTCTCCTCTCAAGATTTTGAGCATGTATGCACACATATCAGGCATGAGTTGTAGGCCGCTGGGTCCGGGACTTGAACTGCGGTCTACTATGTGGGAGTCCAGTGACAACCATTACACCACCTGCTGGTCCCTTTTTATTTATTTGTTTTTAACTTTCTTTTTTCTTTCTTTTTTTTTTTTTTTTTTTTTTACTATAGGGTAAGTGCACTTGCCAGAGATAGAGACACAGAGAGAGAGAGAAAGTGAGAAGTTACCCCTGGGTGGATGACCATATTGTGGTCCTTTCTCTGTTCTCTCAGGCTTTTTGGGAGGCATGCACACATACACAGCTGGTGTGCCACTGGGTCTGGAACTTGAACCACGCAGTCAGCTATGTGCCTTAACCTTCAAGCCATCTGCTGTGCCTGTCTTTCTCTGTTTTAACCTTAGGTCCTGTCCTATGTTCCATGCTTCTGCCTTTTGCTCTCCCTTTGGGTGAAGGGAAGAGCCAAGTACATTCTTGGATTGGGAAGATAATTCCCTAAGCTGTTCAGCTATCTGTGATCATTCTGTGTAGTGGGATTGGTGTCCCCAGTTGGCTTATTACAGGACTTCATTGCTCATTTATTTCCCGTTTCATTGCATTTTCTCCTGAACTCCGGGACGTTCCTGTGATTAGCTTCTCTTTTCTACCTCCCTTTAATGATACAGGTCAGGGACTCTGTGCGTGACCAGGGACTGCAGGATCCTCTAATGGGTGAACAAAAGGGAGCACGTGGGATGAAGAACCATGCCAGGTCTAGAAGCTCCTCCCACTCACCCCCTAGACATGCCAGCAAGAAGATCCCCAGAGAACTGAGGTCCCGAGACAGAAGGTCACGATCCCCGGGCAGAAGGTCACGGTCCCCCAGACCCAGCAAACTGTGAGTGCGTGAATCCACTGGGAAATAACCTATGACTACAGGGGTCTGGTCAGCAGGGTAGCAAGCTTGCTTTTGGTAACGTCCATCCATCAACTTTCCCAAACACCTTTGCTGTGTCATTCCCTTCGTATCATTTATGTACACATCTGTATGTATACATTCTGTACATACCTTACACATCTATGCAAAGCTCAGGCACCTAGGACCACGTATTGGAAGGTTCGGATTGTGCTAGCAGAGTCTCTGGGATGAGTTTAATGTCAAATCATACTGTCCCCTCTGCCTTTTTCTTTCACTTCTGCTCTCTCCTCTTCCATTCAGATCAGTTCTGAGACCATTAGCCCTTCCATTGTTCAAGGACATAGTATTAGCCCTTATATTGAAAGGCTTTTCTCCTCTGCCCTTTGCGTCTGTTACAGGCACAACTCGAAAGTAAACAGGCGGGAGAGAGGCCAAACCAAGAGCCCGTCCCCTAAGAAAGAGGCCTACCAAAGGCGGCACGCCCCCGGGTATACTAGGTAAGTCGAGCCCAGAGCAGAGGGACACTTTAGATTCTGCAGGCCTTAGTGGAGAAGTGGTTCAAACCGGCATAAATGGACAATCCGTGTCACCTCTGTGAAACCAACTTTTACTCATATTGTCAACTTTTATAATTATTTATTCATTTTTATTTATTTTCTTTTTTTGCCGTGGGGTGGGTGCCACCACACCCTTATGATTATCATTTTTTTGGTTGTTTTGTGTTTGGAGAGGTTTTTGCTATAGGGCGTGTGTGCTTGCCAGAAAGACAGAGAGAGAGAGAGAGAGACAGAAAGCAAGAAATCACCCCCAGAGGGCATGGCTACGTTGCAATCCCTTCTCTTCCATTCTCCTCTCGGGATCTTGGGCATGCACACACATATGCCTAGCGTTGAATTTTTTTTTATTGAATTTCATTTTATTTATTTTAATTTGACCAGAGAGTGTGTGTGTGGGAGAGAGAGAGAGAGAGAGAAGGAAAGTACGAAAGCAAGCCACTAGGTCCAGGATTTGAATTGCGGTCAGCCATGTGGGAGTCCAGCGCCCTTAACCACCATGCCTACCCCCCACCTTGAGTTTTAAGTCACTAAGCCCGGGACTTGAACCACGGTCGACTACATGGGAATCCAGCGACGTAGCCATTATACCATCTACTGGTCCTGATGATTATTTTTTTTAACTTGCCATAGGGCATGTGTGCTCACCAGAGGGAGACAGACAGAAAGTAAGAAAACAAGCTGTCAGATCTGGGACTCGAACCCACACTGAGTATTGCGTTGGGCCATGTGGGAGTCCAGTGCCTTTATCACCACGCCACCTGTTGGCCCCATCTTGTCAGCCTTTACTGGTCCCCGCCCCACCCTGCCCCTGCACACCATCCTTTTGACTTCATGAATAGTTTCATATGGGACTGTGCCTTGCCATCTATCAGTATGTTCGTCCTCACAGAGATTTCCACAGAGAAGCTTTTCTCTTTTTTTGCTAGAGGGTATGTGTGCTTGCCAGAGAGAGAGACACAGGAGAGCAGAAAGCTCCACTTTCCATGGGAACAGTCATGCTGCAGTCCCTTCTCTTCCATCTCTCCCTTCCTTCAGGACTCTGGGCGTGCATGCACACTCACCTGCCGTGTCTTCCAGGCTACCGGGTATAGGACTTGAGCTGTGCAGTCAACCATGTAGGATTTGGCTGCCTTAACTATCATGCCACAGAGCTGATCCTTTTTCTTTCTTTTTTTTTTTTGGAGAGGTTTTCGCTCTAGGGCGCGTGCGCTCGCCAGACAGACAGAGAGAGACATAGAGACAGAAAGCGAGAAATCACCCCCCAGAGGGGATGGTCACGCCGCAATCCCTTCTCCTCTATTCTCCTCTCGTGATCTTGGGCACGCACGCACACGCACCCGGCGTGAGTTTTAAGCCACCGGGTCCGGGACGTGAATGACAGTCGGCTACATGGGAGTCCAGCGACATAGCCATTACGCTAACTGCTGGTTCCCCTCTTTCTTTTTTTTTTAAGTAAGTATTTTTTAATGCCAGAGGGTACATGTGCATGCATATGTACACACACACACACACACACACACACACACACTCACAAGAGAGAAAGAAGAGAAAGCACCCCTCCCCGCCATGGGGACTGGTCATGCTATAATCCTTTTGCATTCTGTTCTCCATCCTGGAAGGGCGTGTGTGTGTGTGTGTGTGTGTGTGTGTGTGTGTGTGTGTGCCCAAAATCTCAAGAGGAGAATGGAGGAGAAGGGATTGTGGCTTGGCCATCTCCCCAGTGGGTGAGTTCTCACTTTCTGTCTCTCTTTGTCTCTCTGGCAAGCCCACACACCTTAAAGCAAAAAAACTATAAGAAAAAAAAAAAAAAAAGAATAACCTAAAAAAAAAAAAAAAATAAATCCCATTACCCCGCTGCATGCTAGCCCTATTAAACTCTAATCTCGGGTGAGACCAGAGATCAGTATTTTTGTTTTGAGTTTACGTAGTCTATTGTAAGAGAGAGTCAAGTGCTCCAGTAGGATCATCGTGCCACAGTCCACCCCCAGCTTTAGTCAGCCTCAGATGCTGGGCGTTCCTGTACCTGGCGTGCATAGCGAGGTCTCCTGACATGAACCTGGAGCCCTCCCGCGTCTGGCCCCAGACGCCAGGTTTTTTTTTTTTTTTTTTTGTTTTTAGTATCATTGGACAAAGATAGAGAGGGGAAAGAAACCAGTCTCAAGGTGGGATGGCCATACAACAGTCTCTTCTCCACCACTCTCTTCTTGGGACTTTGGGCATGCATGCATATGTACCGAGTGTGTTTTCAAGCCGCTGGGTCCGAGATGTACTGCTCAGTTGGCCTTTTGGGACCCAGTGCCTTAACCAGCACAATGCCTGCTGGCCTGAGAGGTCAGTATTTTTTATTTTTAAAGAATTTTTTTTTACAATTATTTATTTAATTTATTGCTATTACTTTATTATTATTTTTAAATTTGACCAGAGAGACAGAGAAAGAGAATGGTGTAATGGCTATGTTCTTGGACTCCCATGTACTGGACTGTGGTTTGAGTCCCAGACCCAGTGGCTTACACTCAACGCCAGCATGTGTGTGTGCCCGCCCAAGATCCCGAGAGGAGAGTGGAGGAGAAGGGATTGCGGCGTAGCCATCCCTTCTGGTGGGTGATTTCTCACTTTCCGTCTCTCTGTCTCTGTCTTTCTGGCAAGCGCATGCACCCTATAGCATAAACCTCTCCAAAAAAAAAAATCATGACTTTTCCGACAACCCAATATTTTGACTGGCAGCTTTCCAAAATACGTTACATATTTCTCAGCCTTCCCAGACAGAGTATATTACGCATAGCTTAATTCATGCTGCCCTGGGGAGTGCTCAGGAGTGCATGCATTTTTATATTTTAAGGCCCTGGTCAGCACGTGACTATGCTTTTTCAGATCCTGCTTGATATTCTTTTGTCTCTCTTGCCATCTGGCATCACTTGAATTTGTCTTACTTTGTCAGTCTTTCTCATATCCCTGAAATTTTCTGTTTAATTTGGAGATTTAAAATGAATTAAAGCCCTCAAGACATCTCTCTTCCAGAAGTGAAAACACAGAAACTTGGGACCACAGATGGTGCAATGGTTATGTTGCTGGACTCCCATGTAGTCGATCATGGTTTGAGTCCTGGACCCAGTGGCTTAAATTTACACTGGGTATGTGTGCAGCCAAGATCCCAAGAGGAGGATGGAGGAGAAGGGATTGTGGCATAGCCATTGCCCGGGGTGGGGGGGATTTCTTGCTTTCTGTCTCTGTCTCTGGTGAGCACACATGCCCTAGAGCAAAAATTTCTCTCAAAAAAGGAAAAGAAAACACAGAAACTTTTTTTTAAAATTTAAATTTATTTAAAAAATTTTTTAAGAATGATTTTATTTAATTTTTTATTTATTATTATTATCATTATTTTTCAATTTGATCAGAGAGAGGCAGAGAGAGAGAGGAAGCGAGAAAGCAAGCCACCAGGTCCGACCAAGACTTGAACAGTGGTCGGCCATGTGGGAGTCCAGCGCCTTTAACCACCATGCCACTTGCTGGCCCCATATATTTTATTTTAATTTGACCAGAGAGGGACAGAGTGAGAGAGAGAAGAACTCGCCAGGTCCAGGATTTGAACCACGGTGGTCCATGTGGGAGTCCAGCACCCTTAACTCCCATGCCACCTGCTGGCCCCAAAAAACACAGAAACTTTAATGTGTAGATTTTTGTGTCTATTTAAAGGTCTGTTTGTGTTTAGTGTCCCAATTAGTTAAGGTTGTTTTATGTAACTAACCTGAATCTGAGTTCAAACAAAAAATAAAAACTGAAAATACTTACAGCTACAAAACATTTTTGGGGGGACCAGCAGTTAGCGTAATAGCTATGTCGCTGGACTTCCATGTAGT